CAGGAGAATCACTTGTACCTTGGAGGTGGAGGCTGCAATAAGCCAGGACCTTGCACACTGCACTCTCCAGCCTGGATGACGCAGTGAGATTCTGTCTAAACAAAACAACAACAACAACAAAATTACTAACTGGAAAGGTTGCACTTCAAATACTGTGGTTGGAAATTTTCTAATGTAGATCAGGCGGTTTTTTAGATACATTTTCTAGTTTCCACATAGCCGCAAGGAACATGGTTACTAAGTTTCCTGACACTAAATAACCAGAATATTCCCCCTTCCAATTTTCAATCATATTTTCTTCACTTTGTGGGTAAGTCCACTCAGTGCCCTCAACATCCAAAATGCTACAAACAGCATGTTGAAGACACTTTCAGCCTTTACTAACACTCTTCTGGAGGCCACTCATGAATTCCAAAATCATTCTCAAATTTTAGTTTTTTTTTTTTGTTAAGACAACACCGTACTTCCACATACCAATCTATTTTAGCTATTAATTTATGAATAACTAAGTTTCCTTTGTTGAAAAACAACTGGGAGCAACATTGCTAGCTGGTCTTGGTTTAGTCTCTCTCAGTGACTGCCAGGCTGTGGTCATCTAAAGTGATTGGGCGCATCTATCTCTGAGTTTACTCGAACGGCTTTTGGAAAACTTCAGATGGTCACCCTTCAAGCTCATCTGCATGGGCCTCTCCATAGATTGCTCATATTATGGTAGCTGGCTTCCTCCAGGGCAATCAGTCCAAAAGAGGTTACCCAGCATATAAGAAGCCATAGTCTTTTTAATAATCTAATTCAGGAAGAACACTCCATCACTTCTGCTGTATTCATTAGAAGTTAGGAAAAAAATGAAAATAAAAAGCCCATCCCTGATGAGACCAGCTGGATCGTGGAGATCCCACCCCAGCGGTGATGAAGGAATTAAGAAACACAAAGATAGAGTGCAAATTGGGATCAGGGGCTAACAGCCTTCAGAGCTGAGGGCCTCGAGCAGACTCTGACCCACGTATTTATTCTCTGTAACAGGTGATTATTATTAACAAGCAGGTGTTCTGTGTTTCCTCATAGAACCAAGATAAACTAGGCAGGCAGCTGGTTCCCGTTCACCACTGATTGAACACAAATTGGAGAGCATACTCCACAATGGAGCAATGGGGTCAGGGTCACATATCCCATGTTTAAAGAACTGGTTTAACTAGTGTATGATATACCTACATTGTTTACTATTTTAGAACACCCTGAGCAGTTTTCTGCTTGGGGGTCGGCTAGGTTTTCCTTGCCATGGTTCTCAGTAAACAATATAATCCATCACACATGTTAGGACTTACCCGCAGCACATCCCACACTGAGAAGGAGGAATTACCAGGACCCCATATCAAGTGTTTGGGCCCAATTTAGAGGCTGCCTAGTGGAGTAATAAAATGTTGAATAGTATGCTTTTTTTCTTTTTTTAAGAAGACATAAATAGGAACCCATATACTGTATGTCTCTCATTATATTGGCAAAAAGAACGAAAGGACAAACCAAAAACTAATAAAAATGGTTCCCTACAAAGAAAGAAAGGGAAGGAAATCAGAGCTATATCTCTCAATGTGCCTTATTTTATGTGTCTGACTTTGGAAACTTGTAAATATTTCACATAGGGAGAATCTCAAAGGAAAAGAAGCAATCCTTAAATATGGAATATGTCAACGTTACTTTGAATTGAAAATATCCTTTGAAAGTGAGATTTTTTTTCTTTTAAATGTTTCTGAAATGAAAATATATGTATTTCCTGCTTTATAACTGAAAAGCTTAAAACTAGTAGCAAAAAACCACTAGCAAACAGATTATGGGAACTGAATTTCATTTCCCATTAAAATTTAAAAAGTTCCAAAAGAAATAATGAATTCAAGGTCTGCAGTTGGAAATGTGTTAGATAAGCATGGAATACCTTGTTATTGTTCACAGCCAGGTCAGTAAGGTTCATAGCTACCTGTTCAAAATGCAAAAATGTCTATGGAAGCAGCTCCTTGTTGTCTAAGACAGGATAGTTCAAACAACAAAAAGAATAATGACTGTGATGCACTGAAATACATCAAATATACAAAACTACATTTTTGAAAATGATATTCCAAAGGAAGCAGGGATTCATTTTGAACCCGTTTAGAACCCATTCAAGATTTCTGAAGCATGGATGACAATGGTTAAGAATCAAGCCTGCCATTCTTATTGGGTGTCTGTTTGAGGAGAATTCTTTCATTTGTGGGGGAAAGTATTTTTGTTTATTTGTTTTTTTTAGTAAGAGGGTATAAAGTCATAAACTCAAGAATAAAGTCAAATTAGATATCACAACTTTCCAATTCCTAATGAAATATTGTATTTAAGAAATGATCATCAGTGGCTGCAAAAACCACAAGGTGGAAGTTTGGTGAAGAATTTTATAATTCTATAATTACATATAATTTATAAGTTATGATTTTGTAATGTACAAATGAGGTTGACAACACTTTAACCTTCTGATCAATTGGACAGCTAGATATTTTGTTCCATTGGCATGAGTCAGTAGAATATACACAGCATTTTTTATTAAACATTCTTGAAAAAAAGGAGAATGCAGGTAAGTTTCTGGGTCACATTAGTAGAAAATGTGGGGCTTAGGTGAATATATTTAATTGATGCTATGCAACCAAATCCAGAATTGGGAAAATTTAGATGACAGATAACTTAGTGCTTTCAAGAGGCAAATAAAGATCATAAAAAGAGGAACACATATACATACAAATTGCTATATCAGAAATTTAAAAATAAAAGGTAAATAAAGGAGAACATTGAAATCATGCTAGGGTGTTACAAAGATGTTGATAAACAGGAGTGTAGGCACAGTCATTATATAATCATTAAAAGCCACAGTTATTTTTCATGCCTGACTGTTACTTATGTAAGCACTAAGATTGTTGCTGAGGCTAAACTAATCCCTGACTTCAAAGAATTGACAATTGACTTGTGAAAACAGCCGATGATATAAACAGAAGGTGGAGTCAGTGCTCATAGAAATCATTGCAGACCTCAAACCAATCTTGAAATGTGTGGTTCTGCAGCTGAATGTCTCTGAGCCTCAATTTCATCCAGTAACTGGCAAGTATTCTTCATTTAACATATGTGGTTGCAAAGAGGGCTGAATGAAATAACTTATTTAAAGCATTTGCAAAACTAAAGCAGTCTTTATATTTTAAAAAAATTGCCATGCGGCATATGAAATAGTAAAACGTCAGTGGAATAGACAAGACAAGCTGTGCCAGGTGTTTAGAGGAAAGCATTACAGGGAGTTATCAGAGAGTTGATGCAAATTTTCTGAGAAAGTCAGAGCCTGAGCCCATTCCAGGGAGTTTATGCAAATTTTCTGGGAAGGTCAGAGTTTGGGCCCATTCCAGAGTGACAGCCTAAAGGATTTTGCCATGTTATTCTTAGTATCTGATCTGCCCCAGCATCTGGTACTTTGCACAGTAGGAAGTTTAAAAAAAAAAAAAAAAAAAAAAAAAAAAAAAAAAAAAAGCTTGCCCACATTATTGAATGAATAGGAATAGTGTGCTGTTGAAGCAAGTAAGAATTTCCACTGGATTACGTGGGCTCTAGATGGAGACTTCTGCTAAGGATGAGACAGAAATCTCCTTTGGATCCTCATCTGGTTGGAGTGAAGGACATGATGCCTTGTTTTTCAAGTTTTTACATTCATCCTCCCACCAACCCCATTCCAGTCCAGTTTCCTTTCTCTCTTAGCATTACTGTGTTTCAAACAGGGCTAGGAAATTTTTAATGAGAACCTGGAAAAATACTGCTTACTGTAATAAACAAATAAATATGATCTTTTGAACTTTTATTAAATATAACTCTTGCAGGAATCGCCTTAAAATTTTTCACTCTTTATACATTTTTTACTAATTAGAAACATCCTTAGCAAGTAAGTACTAAAATGTTCTATAGCCTATAGTAAAAATCCATATACTGCCTCCAACCAAAATTCAATACTCCTCTCTTTCCTTGAATCTTTCACAAAATATACAATCTTAAAAATTAAAATGTCTTTACAATAACGAAAAACCTACTTTAAAAATATCATGTGTTTCTACAATAAGGGGAGAAAGTTCCTCATTTGGTGTTTGTACAACTTGAGCATTCCAAGAAGTCACTGGCATCCATTGATACAGCCACGTTCTCCATTTTCCCAGAAAAGCCAGGAGCCACTTTTAGTCCCAGTTAAGGAAAACGCATGCATAAATCAAGCACCTGGGTCGGTCTTCTCCACTCCTTCAGCTGAGGCCGTGGGCGCCCGCCCACCTCGCCCGCCTCGCCCGCCTCGCCCGCCTCGCCCGTCCGTCCGTCTCCAGGCTGCGGGAGCGTTAGACACATGCGCACGATCGGTCTCTTTGTGTGCACCAGGAAGGGTTTGGCGTCGGTGTACACTTCCTAACAGGGCAGAGACCCGGCCCGGCCGCGTGCGCTCGGGAATAAACATGTACTGTAAACAAGGCCGATGAAATAAACAAGTGTCCCGCTCCCGCTGCCTTCCGCGTGGGAAGCGTCCCCATCGCCCTTTCCCCGGAGCCCAGCCCGCGAGCCGAGGTTCAGAGCCCGGGAATGGGGCGCCGCGTCCTCGGGAATCTTGCGCCCGGGCAGCGCTGCGGGCCCGGGGAGCCGGGTGGGGAGCGGGCCCCGGGGCGCGCGGCGGCGGCGGATGCGCTCCCGCCCTCGCGGACAGGGATGGAGCGCGTCCTGCGAGCGTCTCCGAGCCCAGCCACCCCGCGGGCCGGGGGGAGGGAGCGGGGCCGGCGCATCAGCCCGCCCCTCCGGCCCGCCCCCTCCCCCCGCGCCGGGGAGCCGCGGTGGTGCGCTCCGGCCAGCTGTGCGCCGCGGAGCGAGGCGCCAGCCCGTGGGTGCTGCCGGGGGCGGCGGCGGCGCGGGGCTCGCGGCGGGGGGCGGAGGGGAGCGCCGGAACGCGGAGGGCTGGCGCGGCTCGCGGCGCCGGGCCCCGTTCCCCGTCCGCGGCGGCCCTGCAGGCGACCCCGCGTCCCCACCGGCGGGAGCTCGCGGAGGAGCGGGCGGCGGCGCTGCTGCTGGCGGCGGCCGGCTGGATGCGAGACCCGCGTAGACCCGGCGGCGGACGGCGGCTCTCGGCTCGGGAGAGCGGATCGTCGCGGAGCGCAGGAGCCCGGTCGCGCTGGCCATGGCCTCCAACTTTAACGACATAGTCAAGCAGGGCTACGTGAAGATCCGCAGCAGGAAGCTGGGGGTGAGTGCCGGGCTCGGCGTTTTCCTTTCCCCGCGGGTTCGGCCCGGCCGGCTGCCGGGGCGTAGGGAGCGGTGACCCGTGCGGGGACCGGGCAGTGGGGACCCGGCCCTTCCGCGGAGGGCCCGCTTGTTGCTTGGCCAGGTGGGGGCCCGCACCTGCCGAGGGGTCTGCGGACGGAGCGGGGAGGGGGCTGCGGGAGCGCCTGGGTCCCCGTCCTCGAGTGCCCGGGGCGGGCTTCGACCGCGCGTGCGGGGAGGTCCGCGGACTAAAGGGGTTGTCGGTTCCAGCGAGGAACGTGCCTCGGAGGAGGTTTCTCGGCTGTGCCGTCCGCGATGCTCTGTTCTCAAAAGTGAGCGCCTGTCGGTGGAACTGCTCCGTGTGGCGACGCTCCCGTGTGTTTAGAATCACCATTTTCTGGTCCCCGTTTCCCGAGCTCATTGCGAAATTCCCGAGCGATGCCCTCCCAGCGCCGCGCGTCCCTGCCGGCTGTAACGGGCGAGTTTAGGGCGTCTTAGCCGTGGCCGCGGGCGGCTCCCGCGCCCCGCGAGCGTTCCCCGACCCTTGGACCCGCGCCCGCGTGCAGGCAGGTGTGCGCCCCGCGCCCTCCCTCGGACAGCGCTCCGTGACGGCAAAGTTGATGGAGACCTTTCTCTACTTACTGAGAGATGCGCCGCGTGACTTGGGGGGGGGGGAACAGTGTAGAACCCAAGGGTTCAAAAGCATTCTAGTGACCAGACGAGGAGGGAGGAGGGGCTCTCTGGAGGCGGCAGGACGGGAGGGGCGGCTACCTGGGCCGGAGCGGCCCGGACTCGGGACGCCACGGGGAGGTTGGAGGGACGGGCGGGAGTGTCCCCGGGGAGAGAGCTCGCCAGGTAGGGTGGCCTCCAAGGCTGACCCGGACGGGCTGATCCAGAAGAGGGAGGGAAAGTTGTCTGGGAGAGAAAGTGCCCCTGCTCTGGATACTCTGGTTGTGTCTACCTCACTGTCCGAGTTCCAGTTCTACCAGGCTCCTGCATCCCGGGGCAAAGGGTCCTTGAGCTAGAACCTTCCCTGTGTTCCCTGATGGCTGGATGAATCCTCCAACTTGGAGAAGGGGAGAAAGGGGGGAGGACTTTGCTAATTTTTGCATAAAGAAGAAAGCAAAGGAAGTGTAGCGTTAGAGAGTAGAAGAAAGGTAGAGTAGAATCCCCAGAAGAGGGCAGATCACCAAACATTGGGAGTGGCTTTGTCAGGAGTTGGCGGCGCCGAGAGCGTTGGGACTGGAGGACGGGAAAGGTAGACCTGGCTCTCGCTGCTGCCTCTGCTGGGTTTCGCATTAAAGGTACAGGCTGTACCCCAAGGACAACAGGGGCCCGTTTTGGAACTTCAGCAGCTCTGTAGTAGGCTGGGAGCTGGGTGACAGCAACGCCCCCCTTTCTTAGGCCTGGAGCCACTGGGCGCGGTCCTGAGTATCACCAAGGCAAGAGAGAGCAGGCGCCAGGGTCAGACCCTCGGCCAGGTTTCAAGGGCTTTTTTTTGGGTAGAAGACGCCTCATCCTTTTCCAGGGAGATAGGGACTAACGCACGGGAAAAGCTGCGGTTCTCCTGGAGTCTGGTTGCTCCTCGCAGCCAGGACGCAGTGCTCAAATCTGTCACCACACAGCTGTCAGCCAAGGGAGGTGGAAGGGAGTCATCTTAGCTTGACCTTTGAAGCTCTTTGCTTTATGACAGGCTACTTGTTCGTTTTTCTCAGCCTTTGGTCTTCCTGAAACCGAAACTGTGTCTGACACTTTAGACTATATAAACTAATGGATGAGTTAAGTCCCAGACAAGATGTGTGTCTGCGTTCACAGAGTCTGCACGTGAAAATGAGACTGAAGAATGTAGCCTGCGCACTTGGCCCTGGAGTCTATAGGATTCCTTCCCCCCTCCATCTAAGCTTTCCAGGATTTCACAGAAAAAAAATCTAAGTACGTAACCCAGTTATAACATAGGGCCCAAGGAAAGTGCATTGAATGTTTCTTGGGTTAACTATGACATTCACAGCATTTGAAATGTCATCTTGAACACCATTTCTGCCTAACGATGTGCTGTGCGCAAATGTGTATTTACACTTATAAAGCCTCTTTTACTATGCTCACTGTTCAGAGCTTTGCCTTTGTAAAGTGCAGCCTTCATAGAAAACAATAGAAGTGTGTTTAGGTAAAAGTTAATTGCCTTTGTCCTCCATTTCTACCTGAGAAATGTACACTTCAAAGTTTGATATGGAAACAGTTTTGTTTTAAATTAAATCAAAATATTCACCTTGACTATTTTGGAAACATTAGTTTTTCAGAGGTCAGATACTTTTCTGTTCGGAATATTCTGATACGCAGAAGAGAAATTCAAATGACAAAACTTTACAAAGCTGGTTCTGTGAAGCTTACTAAGTTAAATGACTCCTGTAAGAGAGTAAAACTCCCAGGAAATATTGTGTGCCTTAAAGAGTCATACCCCAAATCATAAAAATGGAAATTATCCAACAATTAATATTTCCTTTCCATAGTTAATAATACATATTCCTAATTTTATGGACTCAAAACTATGAATTTTTCCAAATAACGTATTTTTTAACTCTAAGGACACGATGAGTTTGTATGTTTTACGCCCAAAACTAAATTTCAAAATATAATTACACTTGAACATGCATCGATACTTGATTTATTATGGACAAGACCCATGCTTTCAAAAATTGAAGTCTGTGAAAAAAAGGCCTGGATATGAGGTCGACTGCATCTGAGATAATTATTGATATGAAACATTGTTTTATGATGAAATGTTCTAATGTGCCTTTTTCTCTTCACAGATGAGTCCAATTTTGAGTAAGGACAGTAAGGCATTTCTTGTCCTCTAGGTAGAAAGTCAGCCCTGTAAGGGGGGCTTCCGGGTTTAACTAGTCAAAAGAGCTCTTGCCCTGTGTCTCATTGAAGAAGCTAGCAACCTGTTGAGTACAGTCCCTTAGCCCACTGTTTGGACAAAGAAGTAAAATTTAGTAAGCAGGGCATATATAGCAAAATATCCAGTAGGTTCTTGGTTTGCAGCCAAACTAAGAACTCAGTCACTGAAAGCATTAATAATCTGACACTTTGTGTGTTGACTCTAAATTTATCAAAAATAAATGCAGCATTGTGGAGTGATAGTATCATCATCATCATCATCACAGTCATTGTCATCAGCATCACTGTACAAATTTTAGACTACTATACTTTGGCTTACTCTAGACACAGACTTCACATCATTGTTTTCAAGGAATCCATTCAAATACATCAACGTGACTATTCACAGACACACTGTACACAGGCAAAATAGTATCTTCTACAGACATTTTATATTTCTTACTCAAACTCAGGTGAGAGATTGATATTGATGTATATATATACATATCAATATCTAATACAATGTATATATGTGTGTGTGTGTGTGTATATATATATATATATATATATATATACACACACACACACATACATACATACATACTATTCAGGTACATACTCAGCAAGTGATCAAATTATCCTGGAGTGCCCACAGTTTAAAGAGGCAGTGTACACTGGTGTTTGTGTGTGTATTACAGACTCGTATTAAGCCTGAATTATTTATAATAAATAACCTCTATCTACATCATTGCTACTCAGAGTACAACGGGCCAATCAGTCACTTTACACCAACTTCACTGTAGGGGAAACAGGGAAATGTGGAAGAACAGATTTGGAGTTTAGAAGAGCACTAATTTTATGAGCTGAGCACCTATTGAGAATTCACTTCGTGCATATTTTTCTTTTAACAACTTATTATAGATTCACCTACCTCTTGCCGTTTTTCCCCTCTTGATTAAAAACCTCAAGACACCTCCATTCCTGGCTTAATGATAATCGATCTGCTTTCTGTAAACACTTTTTCCTTTCTTCTCACAACAGCTTTCCTCAGAGTGTTTGTTGCTGAGATATATTTATGAAAATTTACTCTTTTATAGAAGTTCACTGATTAAAATAAATACAAATGACTGGGCATGGTGGCTCATGCCCATAATCCTAGCACTTTGGGAGGCTGACGCAACATGGTGAAAACCTGTCCCTACTAAAAATTACAAAAAGTCAGCCAGGCGTGGTGAACATGAGCCTGTAGTTCCAGCTACTCAGGAGGCTGAGGCACAAGAATTGCTTGAACTCAGGAGGTGGAAGTTGCTGTGAGCCAAGATCGTGCCATTGCACTCCAACCTGGGTGACAAGGCGAAACTGTCTCAAAATAAGTAAAATAAAATGAAATAAATAGAAATATGTGTATGTGCATTTGTATATTTTGTTCTTTAGAACATTTTACAATTTCTTTGGTCTCCAAGCATGTTAAAACTAGTTTTTAAAGAGAGATTATATCTTACATGGCATGCATTATCAATTTGCCAAAAATTAAATGCGATAAATATATCAAAGATAAAACATATAAATAACTTAGTCATTCTGACCATTCAAAAGTTCTAAAGAATTTTCAGGATCATTACTTCAGATATGAATTCTTTATCTATGGATTTAAGGTGCAGAGGTTATAATGAGTGTTTCATTCTTATCTAGAATATTGTGTGTTCTGGGTGTTGCTTTCTGAAATGGATCTGTGATGTCTATGTTTATTTATCATTTGTATATTCATCCTTTCTCATTAAATACAAATTTACCATATTACAATTTGAGTTATTTGAACTCTAGATTTTTATTCATGGTGACTATTATGCATATTCTTCACACTGTATATACATTTGACACTTCTGTATCTATACATATTTCTGCAAATAATGCTAGTTGTTAGAATTTTCCAGTAAGAAAAGATCTTATGTATCCTCTCCGCAGTCCCTATATTTTACGATATCTGCAGCTATATGTTTGTGTGTGTGACATCTCAGGTATGCGTAGAAACTACTATCTCTATTGGCAATTTTTTTCTTTTTAAAAGAATCCATCTGTCTGCATGTGAACATGCTTGATGTTCTT